AGGTCACAAGGTCGCCTTGCATGAAGCGTTCTCTGTCATGTTGCGTCATCGCTATCCACATCATTTACAGCTATTGGTGACCTTTTTTCTTTTTCAATTTATACTTCCTTTTATTGAATACACAATGATACAGTTTTCAAGAAGAGGGACGCGGCCAATCCAAGGGCTGCCGAACAACACAAATTGGGAAAGTCAGGCGGTGGTGGTGGTGGGACTCGAACGCTCGTCCTCCGGGATGATAATTTGGTGAAGTTACCACCGGGCCACCACCTTATAGAACGCTCGTCTTTAGCCAAACCTTTCCATCTAAATGCGCTTGCCACAGTACCTGGTTTTCATCGTTGATCTATAGTTTCTTTCTGAGGTGTAAACATAACTTTTCATCACTTTTTCTGTGGTTACTGTCCCCTCCTCCCCTCCCAAATTTTTGCACTCTATAAGGTCATTTCCGCACATATCGTATCTCTTCAGGTTTCTGTCGTCCATGTGCAGCTACCCAACCCGTCATGCAAGTGACTATCGTAGTCTTGTTTTGGTTTTAAATAGTTAGCTAACGTTTACATCCACACCTCGGTCATTTTTTATTTCTTTTACGGCCTATTGATTACACTATATATTGCATCTACGTAAAATTCAGTTTCTACATCGCTTACCGGACGCAAATGTCTATCGAAGTGAATCGTCGTCGAATATGTTTTATCCACTTCATTCCTGTGTACCCTTAGCCGTGCAATCTGCATGTGAACTGCTGAGTAGTCACGGATTTCGCGAGCTGAAAGAACACGAACCGTGGAAGTTGCGACCTTCGGATTGTGTTTTCATCCGCAAGAATGGCACAACCGTGATAGCGGCTGCAGTGGGAGGCAAGTTCAAGCTGGGCAATCCATTTCACATTATCGGTGCTCATACGGACAGTCCGTGTCTACGACTTAAACCGTTCTCAGAACGGGTGAAAGAAGGCTATGTTCAATTGGGTGTAGAGACCTACGGTGGTGGGTTGTGGTACACATGGTTCGATCGGGACCTAAAGCTTGCCGGTCGTGCGGTCACGGCCAATAGCTCCGGACGGTTGGAAGAGCGTCTAGTGCACTTGGACCGGCCTATCGCGTGTGTTCCAAGTCTGGCCATTCACTTGAATCAAGAAGTCAAAGTGCAGGGCTTCCAGCCCAATACCGAACAGCACGTGGCTCCAATCCTGTGCACATGTTTAATGGATCAAGTAAGTTTCTCTGAAGCATTGAATACACTTGAAGCTGTTAGTATATGCTTTATATATGCGCCTCGTTTCTTTCCGTCATGCCACTTGTCACAGCACTTGATGCCTCCTCCTGGCAGCAGTTCTAAGTGGAGTCGGTTTCGTCGATCTGGGTCAGTTATTGTAACGCTTCGATGTGTATAATCAAATTCATTGATCACACTTTGCATTAGATCATCGGAGCCCTCAATTACTTCGGAGATTTTAATTTAGTTGACTGAATCAGAAACCGGAGCTAACTGTTCGCTGTCGCACGTCTAACGCTGATACTGTACTGTTTCCTTTTTTTATTAAACACCATTTTGTGACGAACAACCCCATAGTTCACTTATGATAACCTGTATTCTTAATCCCGGTACTCGGAGTGGGCCTTACTGGGATGGGCATGATATTGAACCGAACGAAAACTTTGTTTATCACCAAAGTTGGTTCAAATTTCGATTCTCAGAGCCCTCCAGTCACAGGGACTTCAAGAACTTTCCCGCCACCAACATCACTTCTAAGTCATGATGTTAACCCCTGAAAAAGATTTTCTTCGTCACGTTTGTTTCAGTTATGCTGCTTGGTTCCGCATTCATTACATTCAACTACATTGCTTACAATTTAGTTTCGGAATTATGGTTTCACATAATGCTCTATTATTCGAGCATCTGTTTAAATACAGCTTTTGTGATTTGTTGTATATTGACGTCCAATCCCCGATTGGACGTGGCAGTTACGTTATCAACGGAAGGGATTTCTACAATCTAATTGCTTAACTGGACGGTAAACTAAACACAAGCCAAAACGACTATGTTTGCATTCTAAGTGTTCCTGTTGGTTAATCACATATCTCAAGAAAGCAGTTCAATTTGAACTGTACTGAGGAGTGAACAGTCGTGTTCATAGTAGCATTTTGTTAAATTGTTATCCTTATCCTCGCAGAATTGATGTCCTTTCGGTTGTTTAGGGCTTCTTCAAGCTCTTGCATAGTGTCTGAGATGATTTCTGTCGTGTAAATTAAGCCTGCTGACAGTTTCGTTGATAATATCGCTCATTGTGCGGGACCTAGCGTGCAAGTCCCCCAGTTCAGGTACTGTGTACGCTGTTTGGCGTTTTCTCATCCGGATCCGTACATCAGTGAATGATTCTCTCACTGTGGCGCTTAGTCACACGCGTATGGGCCTGTCCACCATGGTCATCCCAGACTGAACCAGAATCATCAAGTCAGCAACAGACAATGCGTGTGTGTGAGAGAGAGAAAACTGGTTACGTGCTCGC